ATTATCAAGTGGCATTTATTCCAGGGATGTACATATAGTTCAACATACACAAATCAATAAATGTGATATATCACATTAACACAATGAACAATTAAAATCATCAGACCATCTTAATACATGAAGAAAAAGAATCTGACAAAATTCAACATGAAAAAAAAATTCTCAACACACTGAGATAAAGGCGCATACCTCAACATAATAAAGGCATGTATGACAAGCCCATAGCTAACATACTAAACAGTAAGAAGCCAAAAGCTTTTCCTCTAAAATCAGGAACAAGACAAGGATGCTCACTCATAATTTCTATTCAAGCTAGTACAAGAAGTCCTAGCCAGAGCAATTGGGGGGAAGAAGAAAGGAAAGAAAGAAAAAGAAGAAAAAAGAAAGAGGAAAGAAAGAAAGAAAGAAAAAGAGAAGAAAGAAAGAAAGAAAGAAAGAAAGAAAAAGAAAGAAAGAAAGAAAGAAAGAAGAAAGAAAGAAAGAAAGAAAGAAGAAAGAAAGAAAGAAAGAAGGAAGAAAGAAAGAAAGGAAGAAGGAAGAAGGAAGAAAGAAAGAAAGAAAGAAAGAAAGAAAGAAAGAAAGAAGAAAAAAAAAGGCAGAAGAGGAGGGACACCTGGGTGGCTCAGCGGTTTAGCGCCACCTTCGGCCCGGAGCGTGACCCCCGGGTCCTGGGATCAAGTTCACCATCGGGCTCCCTGCATGGAGCCTGCTTCTTCCTCTGCCTCTGGCTCTGTCTCTCTCTGTCGGTGTCTCTCATGAACAAATAAAATCTTAAAAAAAAAAAAAAAAGAAAACAGAAGAGAAGAAGTGCATCCAAATCAGAAAGGAAGAAGTAAAAATGTCTCTGTTTGCAGAGGACATTAATTATACCTAGAAAAACCTAAAGACTCCATCAAAAAAATACTAGAACTCAGAAAATAAATTCAATTAGAATGCAGGATGCAAAAATCAATATACAAAAAAATAGTTGCATTTCTATACACTAATAAAGAGCTATGAGAATGAAATTAAGAAAATAATCATATATACAATTGCATAAAAAATGTTATTTAGGAATAAATTTAATCAGGAAGGTGAAAGATCTGTACACTGAGAACTGTAAAACATTGATGAAAGAAATTGAAGGCACAAATGGGAAGATGTCTCCTATTCATGGATTGGAAGGATTAGTATTGCTAAAATGTCCATACTACCCAAAGCAATCTACAGATTTAATGCAATCCCCATCAAAATGCCAATGGCATTTTTCTCAGAAATAAAAAAATACTCCTAAAATTTTATGGAACCACAAAAGATTCCAAACAGCGAAAGCAATCTTGAGAAAGAAAAACAAAGCTGAAGGCATCACATTTCCTGATTTCAAACTATGCTACAAAGCTTTAATTTTCAAAACAGTATGGTATTAGTAAACAAATAGACACAGAGATCAGTCGAATTAAGAGTCCAGAAATAAACCCATGCATATATGGTCAGTTAATTTGCAACAAAGGAGTCAAGAATATACGATGGGGGAAAGGATAGTCTATTCAATAAATAGTATGAGAAAAATTAAACAGCCACACACAAAGAAATGAAACTTGATCACTATCTTACACTACACACAAAAATCAATTCAGATCCTGTAAGACCTAAAACCACAAAACTCCTAGAAAAAAACTCAAGTAGTAAACTGTTTGATATCTGTGTTGGTAATGATTTTTTTAATTTGACACCCAAAGCAAAAGCAACAAAAGCAAAATAAACAAGTCGGACTGTATCAAACTAAAAAGCTTCTGCACAACGAAGGAAATCATTAGTAAAGTGAAAATTCAGTCTACAGAATAGGAGAAAGTATTTACAAATCATATATCTAATAAGTAGAATATATAAAGCACTTGTACAACTTGATAGCAAAAAAAATTCAATTAAAAAATAGGCAGAGGATCTGAATAGACATTTTTTCAAGGAAGACATAACAGATGACTAACAGGTACATGAAAAGATGCTAGTATCCTAAGTCATCAGGAAGATGCAAATCACACCACAACAAGAGATCACCTCACATCTGTTAGAGGGCTTTTACCAAAAAAAGACAAGAAATAACAAGTGTTGGTGAGGTTGCGGAGGAAATGGAATTGCACACTGTTGGTGATAATGTAAATTAGTGCAGCCACTGTGGAAAACAATATGGACAGTCCTCAAAAAATCAAAAATAAAACTACTATGTAATTCAGTGATTCAACTTCTGAATATTTTTCAGAAAAAATAGAAAACACTAACTCAAAAAAATATGAACACCTATTGCAGCATTATTTACAATAATCAAAACATGGAAACAAATTAAGCGTCCATCAATGGATGTATATGTGCTGCAGCAACAAGAAAGAAGGAAATCCTACCATTTGAAACAACATAAATGGACTTTGAAGCTATGCTACGTGAGATCTCCATCTGACTAGATGGAGGAAGACAAATACTGTACAATATCACTTACATGTAGAATCTTAAAAAGCCACATTCATAAAAACAGAGTGGAAGAGTGTTTACCAGGGGCTGTAGGGTGGAGAATTTGGACAGATGTTTGTCAAAGAATACAAGCTTCCAATTAGAAGATGGGTAAGTTCTGGAGATCTAATGTACAGCATTGTGTTTAGTGTTAAAAATACTGTACTATATACTTCAATGTTGCAAAGACATTAGATCTTAAATTGTTCCCATTACAAAAAAATGAAATGATAATTGTGACATGAGCAAGATATTAGTTAATGCCACAACGGTAATCATATTGCATATATAAATGCTTCAAATCCACATCCTGCATGCCTTAACTTACACAATGTCATATGACAATTATATCTCAATTAAAAAAAAAAAGAAGGTACATCTGGGTGGCTCAGGGTGTGATCCTGGGGTCCTGGGAGTCTCACACTGGGCTCCCCACAGGGAGCGTGCTTCTCCCTCTGCCTGTGTCTCTGCCTCTCTCTGTGTCTTTCATAAATAAATAAAATCATTTATAAAAATTAAATCAATTAAAAGTTTAAAAAAAAAAACAAGAAAAGAGAAGGCATAGGATGCATAAATCTGACTGGAGATCCATATCCAGAATATATTAATCACTGCTGAATATCAATAATAAAAAGACCTAAGAAATGAGTAGATCTTGAACAAGCATTTTGCAAAGATTGATACGCCAACCGCCAGTAAGCATGTAAAAATGTGCTCAACATTATTAGTTACCAGAGGAATGCAAATTCAAAATCACAATGTTTGTATGCTCACCAGAATGACTAATGAAAAGAACTAGCAAAAGCAAATGTTGGCAAGAATGCGAAGCAAATGGAATTCTTACACATTTTTGGTGGGAATGTAAAATGGCTCAATCACATTGGAAAACTATTTGGTAATTTTTATCAAGATTAACCAGGCCTATTTTATGTCTCGACGACAGAGACAAGAATGTTCACAGAAACCTATTCATAACAGTTAAAAACTAGAAACAATTCAAATGTCTATCAACAACAGAGTGGCTAAAGAAACGGATAATTCGAATACTACTTAGCAATAAAAAAGAGAACAAACCTCTGATACATGCAACAGCATGGATGAATCTCAATCTATTATGCTGGCAAATTCATATACAAAAATGAACAGGCAAAATTAATAAATGGTGTTAGAAATCAGAATAGTGGCTGCCTCTGGATGGGTAGGGCGTTGACTGGGAAGGGACACAATGGGAATGTATAATATATATTGATCTGGAAATCAAAAAAGGGATAAAATACATATATATTTATATATAAAATCTGGTATGGTAAAATAAGTAGAAAACATTTTTAAGGCAGATAACAGCAATTTCAATGCTTTTACATACAAAGAATGAATATAACTGACAAAAAGCCAAGAACACAATTTTAAAAATGGACAAAATCATGAGGAAGGAATTTACAAAAATGCAAATGTGGTGGCCAAATCTACTCAGAGTGATGCCTGAATTCACTAGTAACCAGAGAAATGTGAATCAAATTGATAGTGGACAAATATACATTTAATAGTCTGGCAAAAATTAAAGCTATAAAAATTGTCACAGGTAGGAAAATGGTGAAAAGGATGTTCCTATGTATCGGTGGCAGAAATCTGAAATGTTACTATCATATTGGAAAGCAAGGAGGCATTTACTTATATGAAAGATATCCAGGTAGCTATCTCCAAAGCAGTTAGACACCTACACATAAGGGCGTGTGTACAAGAATATTATTCTTAATGCAACAGAAGAGGAGGAAAAGGAAATAAATTATTTCCTGTCACTAAAGAATAAATGAATTAAGGCAACTAAACGGTGAGATATTATTATGCAGCCATTAAAAGCCACGTGACTCTAAAACAGTATTTCAACCTATAGTCGGAACATAGAGACAGTTACCCACATGGACCTTCACAGAGTCTTCCCGGCAAAACACTAGTGTGTCCGGCGTCTGGGCCCCAACAAGGTGTGTCCTACCGCGCTCTCTGTTGCCAGGCTGCACAGCATTTTGAAGGTCTCCGGCAGCGATAAAAGGAACAGAAGATGGTACCATTCACCTACGCTCCTTCATGTGCATCTTTTTCTACATGTTCCTCTTTTGTCTGGGCCTGTAGGGGTTTCCCCTTTTTTTTCTTTCTTTTTCTACTTCTGCTTCTATTTTTTTCCTATTTCTTAACCTTTCTTTCTCCTTCAACAGACCACCTTTTGACATTATCGCTTTGTATTGAGTATATTTATGAAATGGGGCATTTCTGGAATATGATATAGAAAGTGGATTGTTTTGCATGACTTTCTCTAAGAAAATCATGTGCTGTGCTATCCTGTGCTGAAGCAACTGTATACTCTCATGATCCTCCAGCATTTTACTTCCTAAGCATCAGAGACACTTGAGACTTGTGGGAGACCCTTTCTTACCTGGGTGTTGCTACCTCATTGTCATCAGAAAAACCATTATTGTGCTAATGCCATGATTCTTTTTTCCCCCCTTCTTCTGTTACAGGGAATTTTGATTATGTTGATGGCCTTCAGCATTATTGAATTATTCATCTCTCTGTCTTTCTCAATTATGAGGAGACACTTTTATTGTTATGATTGTGACTAATGCTGCTGAATATCACCATGGGAATAAAGATGTGTTATATCATCAAGAGGTGAATCATGTTTGTGAGAAAAAGCCAGAAGGAATGTGGGATCTTAAGGCTGGCAACTGTCTGAACCAAAAGGGGAGTGACTTAAGAAAGAGCGTGCCATCTGGGTATATTTTGGCTGATAAAACACATCCCGCCTCTTTGCAAAGCCATCTCTTCCTCTCCCCAAATCACATGGTCATCTTGGTGCCACCTCCTCTGTTAGTCATGCATTCATTGAACTGAAGGGCGGCAAGGTAGCGTTGCCACTGTACAGAGAAATGAACCAAAGCCCACGGTGTGGAGTGACCAGGCCTGTAACATTTCCTGCTGATTTCTCCAAGAGACTCTACAGGCTCCTACTCCATGGTTGTGTGGAAGGAGAGTCGGTTGGAAGAACGGCTTGGCCTGCAGGTTTTACTTTACAATCAATGTTAGCCACTCAACCAGAAGAGTAACAAGAAGGGAGTATATTGGGGAAATCACTATAATATCCCATGTACTGTACTAAGTATGTTATATGTATTACTCACTTAACCTCACAAAATATCTAAAAGGTGAATTTTATTATCATACACATTTCATGGACAAGGAGCCTGAAACCAAGAGAAGGTAAATAAAGTGCCCCAGGTGGCACAGGCTGCCATGGCAGGGCCATGATCTCAACAGGCAGTCTGGCTCCAGAGCTCAGGGCTTTAATGCCCACGCAGACATACCAACATGTCCTAGACTCTTGGTCTCAGAACACCTTTATAACTCTGAAAGAAGTATTGAAGCTCATCACACATTAATACAAGTAACATTTTTAAGCATAACTGTTATTTTCCAAAATAAAAATTAGTGTGAAGAGTGGCACTGATACATAGTTTTATAAATTTCCTTTTTTAGGTTACTTAACATTCCTTCACTTTTATTTTTAGGTGTTTTTAGTTATAGTTTATATACAAACAAATGCACACATTTAACGTATATGTACTCCTCTGCCGCCATCACCACAACCGAGGTCCTTAAGCATATCCGTCAGCTCCAATATTTTTTTGTGTTATTTTGTGGGGTTTCTGTTTCCTGATGAGAACACTTAACATGAGAACTATAACATATTTTAGAGTGTACAATTCTGTATTATTAACTAAGTACTCAGTGGTATAGTGGACCTCTAGAATTTACTCATCTTACCTAACAAAAACTTTACACCCATTGAAAAGCAAATGCCAATTTAACTTTACTGCACATTCAAATCACTAGATGAACTTTAATATTTAATAGCCTCCCAACACTCACAATGTGCCAGATACTACCCCTTAGCAATTAAGTAAGAATGTGGTGAGAGCCCGGCAATCCATAGTTTTTAAAAATCTCCAGGCGACTCCAATGCAGAGCTTCTATCTTAATGGAAGGTAACTGGGTGCTGGAAACTGCTTTTGCATTCAGTCTGATGTGCTATCTAATGTTCTTTAGTCTGTGTAGATGACTGCTGTAAACTCGTGGAAAGGGGAACTAAAGTCTTGGTATTATTATGAGCGCTGTCCTGAGGTCACAGACCCCTTAAGGAGCCTCAGGGACTCCAGGAGTTTCCCAGGCTGCACGGGGAGATGGCCACCTCACATGATGTTTCTTTCCGCTGATTGAATACCTGCTCAGTGTTAGGGATCTTCTCCTGTGGCCCCAGCTGTCACAACAGCCCTCTGGAGGAGGTACATCTAGCCTGTGACACAGACATGAAAACTGAAGCTCAAAGAGGTTTATTTTTCAGAAGCCACAAAAGGGAGTAGGATTTAGAATCCAGATTTGGATCAAGATGCCTAACTCCAAATCTCATTATCCTATGCTTTTTTGGGCATATAAAACATGTAGCATATGCAAAGAGATAAACTATTGGGTTATCATTTCTGCTGGAAGCTGGAAGGGGAAAGGCCTATGGGTACATATGTGAGGGCAGGAGGCAGGCAAGTGAGATTCTAATGAAAAATAGTTACTTAAAAAAATGATTTCCAGTCATGATGAAAACTATCTGGTGCCTGAGTGAGGCTGAGATGTGTGGGTATGTGAGATATATTTAAGGGTAAGAATCCTTATTATGTAACTGTAAAGGCTTATAAATCAGACCTAGGTCTAAATGTCAATTCTGCAATTTAAAGCTTAGTGCCTTGAACAAGTTATTTAACCTCTATGAGTTTTAAATTCCAGACTAAAATGCAATCATAATACCTACCTAATGGGTTTACCATGAGCCTTAAATGAAACGTGAACTAATTTAATCAATGCTTGGAACTTAAAGATCACATGGTAAATGGTAGGTTTTCTTTTAAATTTATATTTGAGGTTTTCTTGCTTTCTAAAGATCACATTTTATCATGTATGTGACTTTGGGCCACTTTCCCTCATTTCATGGCCATTAGTCCCCAGAATTATAAAATGGAACCAATACAGGTGCTATATGGACAGAGCTTGACATATAAGTAGGTGCTCAACTCATGTTATTTGCCTGTTAAAAATATAAAGTAGTCCATCAGAACAGAAGGAAGACCTCATGAACTACAAAGCTCTTATGCAGTTGAATTTACATTTTCCTTCGTAAATTTACAAGTACAACCCCGAGATTTTTCAAAATATAATCAAGTTCTATTTGCAATAAGATCTTTAGTTTCACCTTTGAGGGACCCCACATCTCCCTTGCCAATTCTCTGGAGCCAAAACCCTGCAACGCCAGATAATTCAGAGTGCCAATGCCTTCCTGAGCAGTGCCTCATCCATCTGGATGGAAGGAAGAACCAAAGCAGAATCACTGTCTCTCATAGCAATCAGAAAAACCAGCCCCACTTTAAAGTTTCCACGGGACAAATACAACAATGGCTGAGTAAGGCAAGGACACAAGAAATTGTGATGTAGAATGTAGTTTCCATAGGAGAGGCAAAATGTTCCAAAGACCAGGGGATAAAAAAATAAAAAAAAAGAGTGTTAGGAGGTGAGGGGAGTGAAAAATGAAAGGAAGGCAAATATGAACTAAAGTTTAGTTAATAAACTTTTGTGTAGAGTTTAAGAAAGAGATCTTTTGGAAGGAAGGGGGCCACTAGAGGTTTAATTCAGAGGGAAGATTTTAAATGTGTAAATGTTTGAACTCATATCCTCAAACATTACAGAGAAAAAAAAAACTATGGAACACAGGAAGTACTACCGAATCCAAGCCTTAGTGGGGATTTCAACACACTCAAGCACTGAAAAGTCAATCAATCCAAACAAGCAAAGACAAAGTGAAAGTTTGTTTATATAAATTCAAATTCAAGTTTATTCACGAGGAATCACACAACAGCCGCCTAACTGATCTCACCAGCCACACAAATCACAGTAGTAAACGCCCTAAGACAGACCTGGGAAAACAGGGTCTATGCAGAGAAAAGGATACGAAAACTCAGGCTATGTGCGCCCAGTCGGAGCCCCACTGATGCCACGCGTTTGCCACGTTCTGACCCTGTTTCGATGTCCACTCAAATGAAGGCTCATCCCAGGGCCCACCCACCATCCCAGACTCCAACCTCAGGCTTCACGGCTCAGAATCCCTGTCACCAGCCGTTCAAGCACTCCAGCTGATCTTCAGACCTACATCCAGAAGCTTATGGTTTCCCTCTTCTCTGTAGGAGATTTATGAGAGGTGACTGCATGCCTTTTGCTCCTGTTTACTTGATGAAAGCAAGTTCTCTATTCAAATGGTAGCCTGTTCCACGGATAAACCGTCCCAATGGTGGGGAGGTGGCATTTGTTCTGATGTTGCACCAACATCAGCCACTCTAGAACCACTTCTATGCAGTAGTTCTAACCCCCTGATCCAAACTGCCTTAGAGAGAGGAAGAAGGAGAAATAGAGAGGAAAGGCAGGAGGCAGGGAGAGACACAGGTGGGGAGGGAGGGACAAAAGGAGGGGAGAGAGATGGAAGGAAGATAGGAATTAACCTCAAACTTGGCAGGAGAGCTGACATATTTCAGCCTTTTAGATTAGGCAAACAACTACCTAATTACAGCCCTGGGTCTCTAATCTAAATAAAGCAATGGACAAGGAAATTAAAAAGCAATGAAAAATCCAACATATGAACATAAAAGCTATATATGGTGGGGGCAGGGGAAACAGTATCTTTGGGCAAAACTTTCTTTGATTCCTTTCCCAAATGTTACACTCTCCTGGCCACTGGCTTCCTCCATTCCCTCCCTTGATGTAGCCGTAGCACAGCTCCAGGCCAGACTGAAAAGAGAGGGGATACAAGGGAATGAGATAGATGGAAGAAAAAGGTGGGTTGTAGGTAAAAGAGCTACTTCAGTTTGTATCCCAAAACATGAAACTCTTGCCTCAAGCTTCTGGGGATGTATTCTACAGCACCAAAGCTTATGATTAGGCCATTTCCAGCAAATCCCATACAAGACATACATGGTCCCACTAGAACCCTATGTGCAGGTAATTGTGGACAATATATGGAGAAGAATACCTACAACTCTCCCCAACGACCGGGCTCAGTGATTCCTGAATCTCTCTGCTTGGATGGCTTCTTCCCACATAGCCACTCCTAAAAGTGAAGTAAAAAGGTAAAAGTCCTAACAGCCCATCTTTAGAGAATTTCTAGAGCCCTTCTTGCCCTTGGGGACCCACCATCCACACCTGCTTACAGGGTGGGGGCTGCAAAATCTTCTAATTAAGGTAGCGTAAAGTACGCCAGGCAGTCCCCTGGGGTCTTTTTCAAGAAGTGAAACCTCCTGGTAAGGCTGAAACTTTTTTGTATATCCTTTGGCTCTGGTAAGTGTGCATTAAACCAAAGTGATTGGGGCAAAGGCCAAGGTAGCAGAAGCCACTGATTTCCTGTCACCTGGTATCTATGAGAGGCCCCAGACCTGCCTATGTCACTCACCCCTGTGTTCACTAGCACTGGAAGTGAACTCAGCAGCGAGCAACTGAATCAGCCACTCGCCCTAAGGCCACAGACACTCAGGTA